CTTCCAAAATTGTCACCACTCCTTTGAAGCTGTCAGGTAGAATTCATTCTGGTCTGCATCTCTCACAGCACTATGCCTAATTTCTGCTATCCAGCTCAACAGACTGTATTATAACCATCAATTTCCCTCCAGAAATAAAGGTGCCTAAGGGTGAAGGCTCATTCATTTTGATAGTCCTACGGATTATAGCACCTTTTCTTGTATGGTTGTCCCAATCCATSGGGGATTGGTTCCAGGAGTCTGCAGATTCCTAAATCTGCAGAAGTTTAAGTTTCCTCAATGTAAATGCTATGTAAACAGTTATTATATACAGTTGTCAAATATTTTGGGAATAATAACAACAAAAAAGACTGCTAATGTTCAAAACAGCTGCATTTAAAATTTTTTTTGTTGTTGTAGATGGACACAATACTTTTATTTATTTATTTTTATGTAGTACTGAAGCTTGAACCCAGTGCCTCACATGTACTAGGTAAACATTATGCCACTGAGCTACAACTCCAGCCCAACAGCTGCGATTTTTTAAAATTATTTTTTTAAGTTGTAGTTGGACACAATACCTTTGTTTTCATTTATTTATTTCTATGTGGTGCTGAAGATCGAACCCAGAGCCTCGAATACACTAGGCAAGCATTCTACCACTGAGCCACAACCCTAGCCCCCAACAGCTGCAATTTTTAAAAGACTATTTTTGATCTGAGATTGACTGAATCCATGGGTGTGAAACCCATGGATTTGGAGGGCTGGCTGTATACAAGAACTAAACAGCTGTTGAATATAAGAAAGAGTAAACAACATAGCAAACATTGTTCAAGTATTCTCTAATAGRACTTGGCAATGCATGTGTATGTCAGCACACACATACAATCAAAATGAACTCAAAATTAAATGGTGATTATGGTTTTGCAAAAGTATTTTTTTAAGTCAAGATTCTTTGCTGGAGGATGTCAGCAGAGAATATGGGAAAAGGGAACAAGTATTAGGGGCTTGAGTGTGAATTTAGAGAAGAGAAGCCCATTCTGAGAATGAGCAGGTCCTGTGCAGAAGTTGGCAGGGGGTATCAGGGGCATAGTGTGGCCCAGCAGAACTGGTAAATCTAGAAAATGGTGATTCAGGTGTTGAGCATGATCACCCAGAAAAGGAAGCCCCAGACTTAACTTTTGATTTAGCTCTGCTCAGTGCAGGCGGAGGGAAGGTAGACTTAGAAAAAGCARATGTTGACCAGCCAGAGAACAAACAGGAAAGTCAACCCACCCAGGTAGTACTTCTGGCACAGGTTCAATTTCTGCTCAATGAACATCCATTCCAAGTTCACAGTTGTGCTAAGGTTGGATCATCCCTAGAGTCTGTGGGGCAAGACTKGATGGAGGTACCATTATAAGTATCATGAACACTGCCCAGTAGAGCTTACTCAATCTGGCTTGAATGCCTCTACTCCTTTCAACTTTACTTTTATCAAAAGTATTTGCAGTAAGATCCCATTTAAAAATGACCTGTATTAGTAAGTATAAAATTATCTAACTTAGAAATTTTTGTTAACTAACTTCAGAATCACTCTATTACAAAGCTAGATATATTTTTGACAATAAGTCTGTCATGAAATCCAATAAGACAGCCCAAAATTTAAATTTTAAAAAGTAATCGTTAGTACTAATTCAATATCAATACCACTGAAGAATCTTTGGAATTTGATTTCAGAGCTCTACATCTTCCAGAGTAAATGTAGGTACATCTAAAGAGAGTGACTTTCTGCAGCTAGCTCTAGTCCTTCAAATGTTCCTAATATGAAATGCTACCGAATCTCCTAAGTTCCCTATGTTGGACAATCTACAAAAATTTAACTTAATTTGAATGCATTCTTAAAATGATTATTTTTTTATTGTGTTTGTGTTTCACTCTATCTTTCGGCAAGACTTCTAGGAAATGCTTTTTTCAATCATTTCTTAACCCAATTGCTTTTGGAAGGTTTAGATTAACAAACATCATGTAATAAAAGTTAATTTCGGAAGTTTCACTATTATAAATTAAGTCAAAGTCTGAGTAGAATATATGTTCTAAAATTTTAAACACTGTAGGGTACATATATGACTTTAATTGGGTAAACTCTGTCAACGTAAACYATGTACTGAAATTAGAAATAAATGAATTTGAAATTCTAAGAAAAAAAGTTTCTTCATTTTAGTATTGTTAACAATATTAATAGCCATTTACTGAGAACCCATTATTTGCTCCACACTTACATAGGTGTTCTCTAAATTATCCAAAAACTCTCTAGAAGAAAACTGAACCTCAGAGGTTGAAAGCAATGAAACTGGCATTGGAATCCAGTCCTTTTTTTTTTTTTTGGTGGTGGTGGTGATGTTGGGAATTGAACCCAGGGCGTTGTAAATTCTAGGCAAGCACTCCACCAAATGAGCTATATCCCCAACCCTGGAAWCCAGTTTTTGATACTTCTATAGTTAAACTGTTTTGAATATTATACAACAGTAACATCCTTAAGCTTAAGTATAGATGAACCTTCTTCAGAAGGTTTCCAACTACTTTCCTCTCAATGCTATTTAAAGGTAACTTCCATGGAAAGGTTAAAAAGCCAAGGCATACACATATTTGAGTATGAAATGCTTAGAAGCTAGCCTATAAAAAAGAAAGCAATGGATTAAACAGGGGCTTTTAAAATACTGGATTAAATGCCAGGTGGTAACATCAATTTCAAGTATGAATTCCATGCTGGTGAGGGAAAAAAGAATTTTGATTCAATAAAAATTCTGTTCCAGTAGCTCTGCAAAATTTCATGGCTCATCTGCATTCTCTTAAAGCTTCTTCACTGATGGTACTTGTTTAGAAAGGACTATGAGCCAATTTTAATATAGGAATTCTTTAATTATATCTGTTTAGGACAGTTATATGTGGCTACCCATCTTGGCATCAAAGTAATTAGCATTAAAGATCAAAGGCTTCTTGCATGAATCCAGAATACAAGCTTGTTTGGATTCTATGTCATGGAACCACAGAAAGAATCCAGTAAGTCAACGTTCACTGAATTTATTTATGCCTGCATTTCCTTTGGGGCAATTCATTTTACAGACTGTTGGAAAAATTCAAAACTGTTTGGATTTTATKGTTTATTATTAACTCTTTAGGCACTAGCCATACAACTGTAGTTAATTCAGCCATGTTGCTGGTTCTGAAGGGAACTTAATCATCTTAAGCCAAAGGGATTTCTAAAATCAACTGACATAACAGTTAAAGAGAGATTAACTGTTATTATCATATTGCTCCTGAAGCCACAAATTAGAAAATTCAGCTGAATTATGAAAATGAGAATACTGCAAAAGAAGAAAAGAGCAACTAGCTACTTTTTGTTCTTTACTAACCTTGAAATAAAATTTTCTTTGTTTCCACTTGCCACTCATTCTCTTTTAAAACTGTTTTATTATTAACATCAATAAACATGCTGTGAACAGTTAGGAGAACAGCTGCATGTATTCACAGAATCACAGTATCTGAAGGCTGGAAGGAAGTCCCAAAAGCCATCTAATGCAACTACCTGTCCCAGGAATATGTTTCTTTTACCATATCTTAGAGAAGAAGGAYAATACATGGAACATATTCTACCCATCAAAGTAGCCCACGGCATCTATGGATGTTTCTCTTGAAAGGTTCTCATTTAATGAATTGAAATCTTACTATTGCTTCCACTGAGTTATATCTTTAAGTCATAAAAACAAATTATTTAAGTTCTCCTTCATATGAAGTTCTTTGAACATCTAAAGAGAGTGACTTTCTGTAGCTAGYTCTAGTCCTTCAAATGTTCCTAATATGAAATGCTACCAAATCTCCTAAGTTCCTTATGTTGGACAATCTACAAAAATTTAACTTAATTTGAATGCATTCTTAAAATGATTATTTTTTTATTGTGGTACTGGGGGTTGAATCCAAGGGAATCTTACCACTGAGCTGTGTCCCCAGCCCCTTTTTATTTTGAGACAGGGTCTTGCTAAGTTGCCAAGGCTGGCTTTGAACTTGTGGTTCTCCTATTTCAGTAGCTAGGATACCCAACAATAATTAAAACTTTGAATTACCTAAACACAAAACATATCAGTGGGCTATGGTTGTAGCTCAGTGACAGTTCACTTACCTAGCACATGTGAGGCACTGGGTGTGATCCTTACCACCACATAAAAATAAATAAAATAAAGGCATTTTGTCCATCTACAACTAAAAATGCTTTAAAAAAAAATTCCAGTTTCTAACATTAAATCAGATGAGTTGATGCTCAAATATAGCAAAATCTTTCTCATAAATGTAYATATACTTCTATTATAACTGAATAAATTCAGACACAAGACCACTTTTCTTTTTTAAGTTGTAGGTGGACACAATGCCTTTATTTTTTATGGGTGCTGAGGATTGAACCCAGTGCCTCACCCACTCTAAGCTAGTACTCTACCACTGAGCTACAACCACAGCCCCACAAGACAACTTTTAATACTATCTAAATAATTAATTGCTCTTAACTGTTCCTAATGTGTAACAGTCAGATAGTAAATGTTAACTAAAAATTTTAATAAACCTAAAATACCTTTCTACAAAGTTTTGGAAAAYAGGATAAACCATAAATTCTAAAGTTATACAAAAAATGATTATTCTCCCATAACAGACAACTTTCACTCAAACAGAAAACAAAACATAACAGCAAARCAAAACACTGTGATTTTCTAGCAAAAGTCAGAAACTCTGCATTTCAAGAGTATTTCAGGCACTTTTTAATATGGGCCTGAGATGGACTAGCTAAACTACTTCAAGATTTTCATTTTGGGTATCAAGAGAAGCCACCTATGCTATTCCATACATGCTTCGACTATGGAATAATCGAATAATAATATTTTGTGGTGGTCCACAAAATATTCAATTAAGTACTCGCCACACAAGAGTATTTTAAAAGGATAATGTCATCTAAATTACACTAAAAAAATCATTAAACATTCATACACACTTACCCAAGATTCATGGTATAAAACTGTTAGTAGATACATTGCATAATCATAATTCTGTCTTTTTAAAGGGCACCTTTAAAAGAGAAAGAAGGAAGAAGTCAAAATTCTAGAAACTTAGTATACAGAATGATTTGCAAAGCATATACAGAAGRTAATATCTTTAGAAATTCTCTGCTTTTAAGAAAATTTTGTTTTTAGAATAAGAACATTCTATGTATATCATTCTATGTATAACATTATTTAAGGATACTGAACACTAGTGTTATTTTCAACTCTGCTTTCGTCACTAATGTAGTTATTTGTATACAACAGCTTATGCTATTTTTAATGACTGTGTCCAACTGAAGTCCCCTTCGCCATGTCCAAATCTGCTGAATGGCATAAGCATATCTAATGAACCATTTTAAAAATAGTTAAGACAAGCTGGGTGCAATGGTGTGAAAAAGTCTCATCTACTTGGGAGGTTGAGGTAGGAGTATTGCTAGAGTCCAGGAGTTCAAAGCCAGACTGGGCAACCCACCAAGATTCTATCTCAAAATAAATAAATAAAACAAATAGGCAGATGATACATGCTAATCAAGTGTTGATTTCTCCAGAGCTGATTCTCTTTAAATATGAGTTACACTACATACAATTCTGTACTATTACTGCTATATTTAAGACAGAACTAATATCCTAAAATTAGTTAGAACTTCTACATATACATAAGATAGCACATGTATTAAGGTTAATTAATAAAAGAAAAAGAAAAAATTTCTTCCAATTTCTTAAGATATAAAATAAAACCATAAAATGACAAATGACTTAACTAACTACACTGTTCATTCTTCCTTTATGTTTATTTAATAGTTATCTATTCTATATAATCATTACCATAAAACATATATACTGATACTGGAAAAAAAGCAACATTATCAGGTACTTATAGAGTTTCAAACAGTAACATTTAAAGGGTATTTTTAAAGTTGAACAAAGTAAAAATTCAACATTATTTTGCAAGTTTTAAAAAGAGTAAAAGGAATATTCCTAATATGTTTCATATCTATTTCCCTCATAAGAAATAATCAGAAACTATGGTTCCTTTCTTTTCTGCCTCTACCCTATTACTATATCTCTATGTATGCCATGTTCCCTCTTCCTATCAGCAAGACTGATGATGTAACACCAAATTGTTTCTGATACCTCCAAATGCTTTGAAACTGGGTTAGGCAGAGAGAAAGGTGACCTGTACACTCACTTTTCTCTAAAGACAGGTCTTTTATATTTTGACATAATTTAGAAACAATTGAAGTATAATTCTAATAACAAAATAACCATTTAGCAAAGATATACCAACAACCTTTCTTTTAATCAATTGAAAATCATAAAACTAATAAATTCATATATGATAAACTATAACTGGACTTATAAATATCTATCCTGGCTCTGGAATTCTGCTTATTCCCAGAAATGCCTAGATAAATTTCCACATGTACAATTTGATAATTTTAATTTTGAACTACAAGACTCTTTGTGATGCTTTCATTTTGTAAAAACCAACATGTATTCTATTTTATGGAATGAGATGTTGCCAGATTACAGAATCACAAATAAAGCCAATTAAGAAAACAAAAAAACAAACTACCTGTTTAAGCATTAATCACTAGCAAATCATACTTTGTCTTCAAAATCTAAGTTTTATATGCACGGATATATAAAAATTAATATTAAAATAGCAATAATTTAGCTAAGCAGTCCTCTCTGCATACAGGAACAACCTAACAAAAGTAGGCTAGTGTGAAGATATTAAAAATAAGAATTGAACAACTTTGCTAATAACCTTTCATTACTAAAGTATTGCTGAAGTGCTGGAGGACAAAAAAACACATGTGCACAGTCTGCTCAACTTTTCTTTCTTTACCTATCTGTTTTGATGGTAAGTACATCTGTGGTCTTGCAGTATCGTTCTCCTACAAGTTTAATAAGTTTCTTCTTTGCATGATCATCTAAATTCAAACTGGAAAGTTTCACCTTAAAAATAAAAGAAAAAATTATTTGAAAAAAATAATTTCATATAATTTGTTTAAAGAAGTAGCAATGTTATTTGTATTGATATTAAACCTACAAAACATAAATCTTTTCAAACTACTTTCTATACAGTTACAATGGCATACACTATAAAGCCTGATCTTGTTCGTGGAAAGAAAAAGAAATAAAATAAAAAGAATATCTTTGAAAGTTCTGAGCATGTGTACCTTCCTGAAAGAATTAATGACATGTCCTAAAGAAGACAAATTACACTGTTTATTAGAAGCACAAACAGAATTAAGCTCAATTAGTATTATCAAAGTTGGACACTAGAATAAATGGATAAAATATAATAGCTTTAAGAAATTTCTACCATGCAATTATAAGACCTATATCACTGCAACTATTTTAGGGACATTCATTTTTTAAAGCTACAGATGTCTCAGAGGCTGGAATATTACATCAGGGAAGGATCAAAACTTTTTTTTTTTTTTTGATACCAGGGATTGAATCCAGGAGTGTTTAACCATTGAGCTACACATCCCCAACCTTTTTATGTTTTATTTTGAGACAAGGTCTTGCTAAGTTGCTCAGGGGTTCACTAAGTTGCTGAGGCTGGCTTTGAACTTGCAATCCTCCTGCCTTAGCCTCCTGAGCCATTGGGATTACAGGCATGTGCCACTGCGCCCAGCTCAAAACATTTTAAACAATTCAGTTCAATGTTTTCCAAAAGTTAATACACAGCCTGTTAAGATTTTTTTTTGTTTTTTACTTTTAGGAAATGCTGAGTTTATTAACAGGATTTTAAAAATGTATTTCTTAGAGTATTTTGAGACTTTAAAATACAGGATTGGTATATAAATGATTCTCAAATTTATTTGACCTCAGATTTCAATTTTCAAGGAATAAATCACAGAATTAGTCTTCCTTAACACATGTTTTGGGAAATACTGGAATAAAATAACATACTTTTTAAATTGTAGAGATTATAGCATGAGCTAAAAGTATCTAGAGATGAATAGGTATGATATGATAATACAGTTAAATAAAGTGAAGCATTGTATTCACCTATTTTTGATTATTATATGAAATATCTGAAACTGAGTAATTTTATAAAGAAATTTATTTAGCTCACAGTTCTGRAGGTTTGAGATCAAGGCACTGGCATCAGAATGTAGGAGGACATATAAAAAAAGGAAAACATATTGCAAGACAGGAAGCCAGAAAAAAATTCAGGGGTTAGACTCACTCTTGTAAAGGACTCACACTGAGAATGACTTTATTCTCTTCTAGAACTACCTTAATCCCTCCCCAAAATTACCAAAGGACCTCCCACTAGACATCACTTCTTAAAGGTCTGGCTCCTCCCAAGACTGCCACACTGAGGGGYTACCAATGCAAGAATCCTTGGGAGACAAACTCTTATCCAAACCATAGCAAGCATAGATTATTCTTCCATGTAGAGCATTAAGAAAGTGTTCATGAAGAAGCAAACAGGCTAAGTGTTTTTAAATTCCATCTGGTTCTTGTCTCTAGCTTCAATAATCCTGCACTTCCCTCAAGACACCATGCCACAGTAGCCTATTTATATGTCATTTTTCCCCACTGAATGGCAAATCTTTGAATGCAAGAAAAATATCTATTTTGTTTCTGGCAATGGACTAGGAATTATCACAGTCTTCTGGAAAGAATATGTATCAACAACTAGGTTTACAGCTTAAGAGATAAATAACCCATTTTATGAAAAATCAGATTAATAACAAGATGGAGAATTACAAGAAAAAAAAGAAAATGTACCTACATTATTATAATTATGCAAATACATGTGCATATGCACATATCTGYGCATATGCACAGTCTACAGAGAAAAATGAATAGCTTTTATATTAGGATAGTAAGAATGTAGTGATCTGTCCTTTTGAAACTCCCTTCAATAAAATCATAATAATGTTTAGCAATACATTAAGGCATTTTTAAAATGTGTTTTAACTTTTTTGCCATAAGATATCAAAAAACACAGCAGCTAACAACAACCTTAAAACTCATATTCACATTGACATTTTAATGTYCAAAACTACATACATTAAATGCCAGAAACTCATAAATACTTGAGAAATAGTGTGTAGTACACTCACGCCACCTGCTAGCACTCAAAGGCACTGCAGAATTATAGTCATACATGGACTAACACTGATTGCAAGGTGGAGTGGCATTCAATTGTCTTTCCTTATCAAAATTCAAAGCAATGCTTAAGCTTTTTGTTTTCAAATTGCTATTTTTTCAAAGAACAGGTATTGTGCCACCAATATTATCCCCAAAATAATATGGATATTTCAAATCACAGGAGGTTGTGACTGTATGCGTCTATCTTCAAATGTCTATATTTTAACACAAAAGAAGCAACATAAATTTAAAGTTTAAATGTGAGATATTTTCTCTACATGCAAGTATGGTATGATTTAAAAATTCTGGTATTACACATGAGAAAAGAGCTGGGTTTGATTTTTAGGACTGCCACCTGCTACGTGATTTCAATCAAATTATTTTACCTCCCTGAGACAGTTTCCTCAGTACAACTTAATTCACAGGATCTTTGTCAGGAATAAACGAGACAAACAGAAGACAGTGCTTTAAAGTAMAGTCTTAAACAAACATAAGTACTTAATTCTAAACTACTTCTCTGACTATAGAGAAAAACATAATACTTTCCTTCTCTGAATTTAAAAATCTGAATATCTTTAAATCATATTTACCCCACTGTATTGATTGAGACAAACTAGACTGCAAATGCTTAATTCCATTGTTTCATAAATTCATCTCATAAATATAGCATGACCCTGATACCAAAACTTAGTAAAGAAAGTTATTAATCAGGAGTTAGGGATATACTCAGTCTCTGACACTGAAGAAACCATGCTTTAAAAATTACAAATCAATCACAGCTACATCAGAAAATCCTGGCAATTATCTATGTTAGCACTTAATACAAAAATAGATTTAACACATTTTTGCTATATGTTCTTACTAGGATACAGGCTACATACAGTACAAAAAAACCTTTTTTTTTTTTTTTTTTGAGGTTTCTTAAAGGTACCTCAAAGAGAAGGGCAGTTCTCCAGATGAATCAAAAGTACATTAGTCAGGGCTATTTGGAGTAATGGCTGATTCTTCGACTAGGACAGGGAAAATGTGAGATGAGTCTGGAGTATTTTATAGTGACATATAATAAGAAAAACTTTAAAAATCAGATGATGGAGGTATAGCAAAGAAATAGAAAAGCCAATTAAAAGAGTATCAAATAAATATCCATGAGTCCATACTGACATAAATGGTTGAACAAATACATATATGTGGGAGAACAGACAAATTTTCCACATAGAATTCCAAACAATGAATGTGGTATTTCTCCCTCAAGGAGGTATAGCATAACTCCTGACCCCTTAAGTGTGGGCTTGGCATAGTTACTTCGCTTTYCTGGAAAAGACAGGAAAAAGGTAATTTTTATGTGTGTGTGTGGTGATAGGAATTGAACCTAGGGCCTTGTGCCTGCAGGGCAAGCACTCTAACAACTGAGCTATATCCCCAGCCCAGGAAAAAGATAATTTTATACTGGAGAAAACTGACAAATGCTAATTAGCATCAGCCAGGTGATCAAGGTTAGCATTATCAGTAAACAATCATGTAAACAGCCAGTACTTTTGATATAATGTGATAATAATGACAATTTATGTCTGGAATTTTCCCCCTCAAAATACATAACAAGTTGAAGGACATTCTAAAAAAATACATAATTAAAATTCTTAAAATTGTCAAGGTCAAGTCAGACACAGTGTCTCTCTCACACCTGARTCCCAGCACTCAGGAGGCTGAACAGGAAGACCATCTGAGCCTAGGAATTTGAGGCCAGCCTGAAAAACACAGTAAGATCCAGTCTCAAAAACAAAAAACGAAATATCTTTTAGGACTGGGGTATAGCTCAGTGGTAGAGTGCTTGACTAGCAAGCATAAGACTCTGGGTTTAATTCCAGCATGGAAAAACAAAAAAACTGTTAAGGTCATCAAAAACAAGTCTAAGGAACATCACAGATAAGAGGAGTCCAAGAAGACATGATGACTAAATATAAAGTGGTACCCTCAATGGCATTCTAAAACAGAAAAAGAACATCAGGTAAAAGCTAGGCAAATTCAAATAAAGCATAGACTTTAAGAATATTATATCAATATTAAATCATTAACTGGATGCAGTGAGGCATGCCTGTAATCCCAGCAGCTCAAGAGGCTGAGGCAGGATAATCTTTAGCTTGAAGCAAGCCTCAGCAACTGAGCGAGAACTCACACAACTCAGCAAGACTCTGTCTCTAAATAAAATATATAAAAAGAACTAGGTTCAATCCCTGATACCAAAAAAAAATTTTTTAAAAATTAAATCATTAGCCCTGATAAATGTAACATAGTATAATGTAAAATGCTACCAAAAGGAGAAAATTCAGAATGAAAATATGAGAATCTTCTGTAGTTTTCACGAAACTTTCTGTAAATTTTAAAACTATTCTAAAATACAAAGTTTAATTTAAAAAAATATATGAAGTAACTGCCCCATGACTGCTGTGTTTACCAAGACTTCAAATACTAAATTACAAGTTACTAGGGCAAAAATTTGGAAATGTAATACCATGTAGTATGCTCCAGGTAAGAGGGGTGATTTGATGTTTCYCCAAAGCAATATTGGAAAGGACAATGATCCTAAATACATTACTAGCAAGGCAAATCAGCAGCAGAGTAAAAGAATGATATGCCTAGAGTTCAGAAATGCTTCAGAATTGGAAAACTATTGATATAATTCACTGTTTCAGGAATTCAAAGGAGAGTATTACAAAAATGCTAATAAATTAGGAATAGGATACATTTCTAATATAACAAGACTATTAAGCTGAAATTCTACSTTAGGCTTAAGAGACAAAACACTAAAGGCATAGTCATTAATGTACAGAACAGCATAACAG